GACTGTCTAACTCATAAACACACCACCACTGATAGGCGGTTCCTCGAAGCTGGAAAGTAGTGAAGGAAACCCCGCTCGATCCTGATATGCCCATAGTACGGAGGATACGGTAGCACTCCTCAAGAAATCCAAGGGCATCCTCTGAGGCTAGTCCGCTGAAAGTCGGAGGCTGATACTTCTTGAACCTCTCCAGCCTCTTCTGCTCCTCCTCTGAAGCTACTGCCCTCTCCTCGGGCTGAGTTGGGGCTACCGGCTGTACAGGAATAGCCTCTGGGACCTGGTCAATATGCACTCGCTGCTCAGGAGTGCGGGCGGCGGGAGTTTGTGCTCCTCCCCCGGCCTAGGATCTAGCTGCAGCAAGGGGAAGCAACCCTGCCTGAGCTATAGTGGTGTACATGGTCATAAACTGTGCCAAAGTCTCCTGGAGTGCTGGAGTAGTAGTGGCAGACGCATCAGTGTTTGGACTCCGGCTGGTACTGCTGGTGGTACCTCGGCGGCAGCTCGCGCGGGTGCTCTGGCTGCACCACGAGCGCGTCCTCGGCCTCAGCCCTGGACCTGGCCTCTAACGGCTCCAGTAGGGGGCGCGGGTGCCTGTTCATCTTGAGTAGCACATGTCCTCACCATCTGTGAGAGAATAGAAGACAGAAGTTTAGAATTGTGATATAAAAAATCTCGCACGACAAGGAAATCAAACGAAACGGAATTTTTCTAACAGTTACATAGCCTCCCGTAGATAAGTACAGACGTCTCCGTACCGACCAGCGAGACTCTAATAAACCGACTTGTGATTCATGACTCCTATGAACCTAGACCTCTGATACCAACTTGTCACGACCCCGGTTCGCCCTCTGTGAACCATCGTGATGGCACCTAGTCTCTACGACTAGGTAAGCCTAAATTGCGGAAGAAAAACCAAAATTTGCGGAAGTAAAACAATTTAAAACAGAAATAAAGGAATAAACAGCGTTTAAATGTGCCGCTCGGCATACACCATATTTAATTCTCAAAACCAACACATAAATCCAAGATCCGGAAACCCATATCACAAGCTAAGAAGTACTACATAGCTCTAACTCCAGAATGTCTAACAAGAACTGAAATACAGAAGGCTAGTACTAAACAGCAAGAATAGAAAGAGACTCCTCGGTCTGCGGACGCGACAGATATACCTCGAAGTCGCTATAGCAGTCGTCTCGCCTCAGGGGTGGTAGGACTGAGTCGAAGTACCTGGATCTGCACATAAAAATTATGTGCAGGAAGGGCATGAGTACACCACAGCGGTACTTAGTAAGTGTCAAGCCTAACCGTGGTTGGGTAGTGACGAGAAAGGTCCGGGCCTTACTGAGATTAAATTGAATATAAAATTCAACAGTGTAGATAAGAACAATATAATTAAGTGCAACAGTGAAAGTATCACAGGATATAAAGGTAACTACGACTAACACAGAGGCAAAAACAATCACAAGGATGATAACCGAGGATCTCTTGGTATCCCGAGGATCTCTTAGTATCCTCAATATATGCCAGGGATCTCTTGGTATCCCAAGGATCTCTTAGTATCCTCAATAGGTATGTGCCAGGGATCTCTCGGTATCCCGCACCTCAGCTCGATCATAAATAAGTACAGGGGGTCTCCCGGGATGCCTTCTCGTAGCCCCAAAATAAAACGCACAACAATAGCAAAAAAAAAGAAAAATAATACTCAATTAAGCTCAACTTCGCACCAAGGCAAAATAGATAATTCTAACCTAGAATGCTTCACGTAATACAAATAAGGCATTTAAGGCAAATAGAGCAATTTAGTCAATTAGACATGCTTCTCTAAACTAACAGCAGGCTAAATTTCCAAGTAGTGTAAGCAAGAAAAAGGAAGAACACAATTCAAGGCTATTTTTAATGAAAATAAAACGGATTTCCAACTATTAGCACAAGTACGCGCTCGTCACCTCACGTACAAGGCATTTCAATTATCACAATAACAGTCCTAAGGGGAAAGGTCCCTCACACAAGGTTAGACAAGCCACTTACCTCGAACCGGCTCAAATGTCAACCCGAAACCACGTTCTTGCCACGATTATCCGACTCCAAATGGCCCAAATCTAATCAATTAAATTTCATAATGTAAATAACACTTCAAGTAACTGATTCTACAATTAAATTCTAAGCTAATACGTAAAATTAGGTAAAATGACCAAAAAGCCCCTCAGGCCGACGTCTCGGAATCGGGTAAAATTTACATTTTCGGAATCCTCATACTCTTACAAGTCTATACATAACAAGAACACAGAAATCGGAGTTCAATTGACCCCTCAAATATCCCTTTTTAGGTCTCTTAAACTGTTACCCACTTTTTCACAAGTTTTCCACCACTAATTAGGTCTTTAATCACATAAAAACGAGCTATGAAGTCAAAAATGTTACCTCCAAGTGATTCCCCTTGAATCCCTCCTCAACCCTCTTCAAAAAGCTCCAAAATCGCCTAACAATGGAGGAAACTAGGCTAAAATTCGCGAAATAACCCTTTTAAAACATTCTGCCCAGGTATTTTAATTCCTTCTTCGCGAATGCGAGGCTACTACCGCGAACGTGATGCACAAAAGTCCTGCTGGCCAAATTCCTCTTTCGCGAACGCGAGGTCCACTCGCGAACGCGTAGCTTACACGGGCAGCCCCTACGCGAACGCGGGACATCATCGCGAACGCGAAGCACATTTCAGCTGCTCCACCCAGATGCTCTACGCGAACGCGACACCCTCTCGCGAACGCAATAAAGGTTTTCTCTGCAACACAACAGCAGAAAATCTGCAATCTTTCCAAGTCCAAAAATGGTCTGTTGAGCATCTGAAACACACCCGAGGCCCCCGGGACCTCAACTAAACCTGCCAACCAATCCCAAAATATCATTCAAACTTGTTCCAACCTTCGGAACGCTCAAAACAACATCAAAACACCTATTTTTCATCGGATTCAAGCCTAAGAATTCAAAAAACTCTGAAAACGCGTTTTCGATCAAAAAGTCTATCAAACCTCGTCCAAATGACCTGAAATTTTGCACACGCGTCACATTCAACACTACGGAGATACTCCAACTTCTGGAATTCCATTCCGACCCTCGGATCAAAATCTCACTATCGGACCGAAAACTTTAAAAATTCAACTTTCGGCATTTCAAGCCTAAATTAGCTACGGACTTCTAAAACACAATCCGAACACGCTCCTAACACCGAAATCACCCAACAGAGCTAACGGAACCATCGGATTTCCATTCCGAGGCCGTCTACATACTGTTCCGACTACGATCAACTTTCCAACACTTAAGCTCTCATTTAGGGACTAAGTGTCCCAAGACTCTCCGAAACTCAAAACCGAACATCCCGGCAAATCAAAATAGCAGAAATAAACTTGGGAAAAGCAGTTAATAGGGGATCGGGGCGTAAATTTTAATAACGACCGGCTGGGTCGTTACAATAAGTCTGAAATAAAAAATTACACTTCAGATGCATTTAAAGCCAAAAGGTCTGAAGTTCAACAAACGTTTTCCTTCACTTAAGGCCAATAAGTCTGAAGTGAAAAATTGAACTTCATATGCACTTAAGGCCAAATAGGTCTAAAGTGTAACCAATGGTTTCATGCACTTACGGCCGATAAGTCTGAAGTGAAAAATTGCACTTCAGATGCACTTAAGGCCAAAAGGTCTGAAGTGCAACAAACGTTTTCCTATACTCGAAGCCAATAAGTCTGAAGTGAAAAATTGCACTTCAGATGCACTTAAGGCTAAAAGGTCTTAAGTGCAACCAATGTTTTCATGCACTTAAGACCAAATAGGCCTGAAGTGCAAATTGCCTAGAAATAGAAATTTGTTCTTTGAATTATAACAATCCAGTATACGATTTAATACCTAAATTTACTCCAAATGAGCTCAAATTTAAAATATGCCTCCAAATATCATCAAGAACAAAGCCCAATCATCAATTTGTCATAACAACAATAAATCTAACGAACCCATTTTGCAATTAAGAAGAAGAAGAAGAAGAAGAAACCCTAAGCAATAGTAAAAAAAACGCCATAACAACTCACCATTGTAAAATATTATAAACTACTTTAAAATATATTCACAAACACCATATAAAATCACTGTCACAAGAAGAAGAAGAAGAAGAAGAAGAAGAAGAAGAAGGAGGAGGAGGAGGAGGAGGAGAAAAATGCCTGAAGTTGTTTAAAAAGTGGTATAAGTTAATAAACTTTTAAAAAGTGGGTATAGGTTAAATGGGGGCGACCAAATAGGGCGCCCGTGCAATTTTTACGATATCATCATAGCTAAAATTTTAGTTACGAAAGTCCTAAATATTAGGATCATGCATACTTCAAATAAGAATTTTTTTTTAATAAATAGTATTTTAGATTAGGAAAATAAATTAAATTACAATTTTATTCGACGTGAATTCTATTTTTAAGGATAAAAAAGACGAACGACATTTACTAAGAAGCTTCGTGCTTTTAATATAGTATAGATAAATTGTTTAGCAGACACAAAGAGGAACCTGAGACAAAAGATACCAAAATCACCATTTTTATTGTATTAGTTCTTTATTTGGAATACTATCGGGCGAATAAATGGTCAACTAACCATTAGAATTACACGCCTCACTAACTAGAAAAGGTAGAGACCGTCCTTCTCTCTATTTATTCTATGCCTATCTATTCGTAGAGTTGCTTAATGGTATAGTTTTTTTTCAAATGAATTTCTTATTATTTTACAAACCTAAATAAATGAGAAATTTGAAAGTTTTTGTTCATATCGATATATGTACTCTGTGATGTGAATAGCACGTTCTTTTATATATCATTTTATTAGAAAGAGCTAGCCTATAATACAGGCTACGTTATCCGTCAAAACAATACCCTCATTCTTCATTCTAAATTATTCTTCATAAAAAACATCTTTCATGAGAACATTTTGCATAGAAAACATTTACCTCTGCACTAAACACACCAGAAAAGTAAAGCTAAGAAATAAGTGCTTTGACCTGAAAGAAAGTGTTCAAAATTACAACATGAGAATTGAGGGGTGCAGGGAGAGGGTGGGAGGTGAGGAAGGCAATTTGAATGCAATTAACTCAGACCAATAAGGAGGTTCAGAATAAGACGTCAGAGATGTCCAACAGCTACAGGTTACAAAATTAAACTAATTTGGGAGGACTTCATGTGTTGCTTCCTTGCTACATCTCCATTTGTGGCTTCTCCTTTACATGGCCTGCAGTTTCACAAAATAGTTTCAGTTTTCTTGCCACAAACCACCGTAATAAATATTCTGAAGAAGAAAAGGGTTTAAAGCAGTAATTCCAGATAATTCACAGCCATAGAGTTGTTAAGGCAGTTTATTAATCCATGGAGCAAAACATCCAAAGCCGTAACAGGATATGTATCCTGAAAGAAAACGACCAAGGATAGGTATCAAATAAGAAAAAACTAGACGAATTGACTATCGCCCTTTTTTTCCTTTTTGAGACAAACATGACAATACTTGGAAGCATGAAGACACCATGCTATTAATTTTGCATATTTCAGCTTTTGCACCCAAGGGGGGTGTGGTCAAGCAGTCCATGAAGCTAGAATATACCATGAGATACTGGTTCAAATCCCAGCAAAGACAATAAAGGCGAGCAAGTGATCTCTGACTAGGGCCGGTGGAATATATCGGGTAAAACCAATAGCCCGAACCGAAAAAAAAATATTAGGTTATCGGTATCGGGTTATTGGGTGAACCGCTAACTCAATAAGCTTTATCAAAATTATAATTTTATCCACCAAGTAATAAAGCCACCATAGGGCTTCATTCTCTCCTACTCTCATTAGTCACTCTTCATCTTTAGACTGCACTCCTTAGGGTAAGTTTTAAACTTTAATAAATTTCTCATCTTCATTTTTCAGTTGTAAACTTTAAGGGATTAATTTTCAGATTTTTAGTTTTTCTATTTGTTTCTTTTGTTCCACTGATTATTTAGCATTTACAAGATTAGGATTTTATTATTTTCCTGTGAATTATGCCCGCTTGTATTAAGATAGTTAGAAAGATTAGAATGTTGGATGTCTTATTAGTTACTCCTACTAAATTATGACTCTTAAAATTGAGATCATTTCTTAGGATTTTCACATGCAAAGAAAGTTTTATTTTCTAAAATTGAAATTATCCCTCTTTTCTTAAAAACAAAAATTTTCTTTAATTGTATGATCACGATTTCTATAATAAAAACATAGTGTTTTTGGATGTTTTCGATTCTTATCGGGTAAACCGATAACCGAACCAATAAGGATCGATAACCAATACTTGATAACCGATATCTTATCAGTTCGGTTTATCGGTTTAGCATATTTATATACCGATATGCCGAACCGATAACATTCACAACCGAACCGACCAATACCCACCCCTATCTCTGACAATGTTCACCTTCCTATGTTATAAGCCTTGGTGGACTAATCAAGGTGACTGCAACTTGGCCTAGATACCACTGTCATAATAAAATTCTTACATAATCTGGTTCTTTTGTATTATTCAGATAACCAAATTATGAATGGAAGTTGGACATATTCAGAGCTTGAGGATATCTTCCCTCTCTGATAGCACCCCCTCCAACATAATCGTAACAAATCAATACAGGTGATGGTTGTGGAAGAAGGAAGAGGACAATGGGTCCTCTACTTATTAAAATTCTTTTGAGGGCCGAAGTCAGTATGGAATTGGGACCCAAAAAGAAAAGTTCATTTGTTTATTTGACAATACCAACAAAGGTATTATCATACTTTCTACAATTGCAAAGCACGAGATGAATTTTAGGTAACAGAATGAGACTTTTTCATACTAGGAACTACTTCATGTCTTTTATTTCTTCATATTCTTCTGTCCTAAATCTAATCAACTAGCACTTCTAGGCGCAATTAAATAATCAAGAGAATATCTAACAAAGCTCGTCATACTATTGAGATAAAGGTCAAGCTACCCATACAAGGAGCAATCCACACAGAAGATTCGCTACTTGGTTAAATAAGAACAATGATCGTCATGTACGATAAGTTATGTAGCACGCATATGCATAGGAGCAGTCAAATCTAATAAATCAGTGAAACAAACCTTAATTAACAGAAAGCCTGTAATTTATCAACAGATGTAGCGAAATTTACGAGATGTATCAGTAGATCCACATAAGAGTAGGAGTTACCGGTTAGGAAGCACCAACGATGATGTTGTTAATAGGAATGAAAATCAACTTGACAAAAAATCCTACAAATCCCATCACCACAAAACCGATTGCAGTACGAGTCGCAACTTTGGTGAATTCTGCACAAAACATTCAATTAAATTAACGAACATGCACGCACATTTACAAATCAATGGATTCAATACACAAACTGAGATAGTACCTTTGCGATCGGGCTTGTGGCACCTCTTAACAAGCCTAACGCTGTCTTTGGCGAAATCTCTAAGGGGATCGAAAACAGAGTCCAGAGCGTCCATTTTGGTCTGAGAATAATCGGTTTCTCCTAGCGGCAGAGGGAGGTTGTAAGAACTAAAGGCAGAAAGCGGTTCCAATTTTTGCTTTCTTTTCATCCGACCCGCTATAAAGAAATTGGGCTTATGCATAGGCTGTGCAGTTCAATTGGGCTTCAACTATTTTTGATAAAACTACGTTGTATGGCCGTCGGAAAAAATTATTAGCCCAAAGTTTTGCATGTAACCCGAAATGTCCAGCGGAAAAAACTAAAAGAAACTTTCAGAAATAACTATTGTTTGGAAACTTATTGTTGGGCGTCGCTATAATTTAGCTAATTACATTTCATAGCTACTAATTGTTTGCCATGGGATGTATGTCGCTGTATTCAATTTTGTTGTATACACTGTATTCAATTCGGATGTATTCGTTCTTATATATTTTACATTGTATTCAATTTCACTGTATTGTATTCTGTTGTATTCAAACGACAAAAAATCAAGAAATAGGGTGTACACCGCTGTATTCAATTAGGTTGTATACATTATATTCAATTCGGCTATATTCATTCATAACTATTTTACATTGTATTCAATTTCACAGTATTCAATTCGACTATATTCAAAAAAATAAAAAATCACAAATACAATGATATTCGACTATATTCAATTCACTGTATTCATGAGTAGTTGCTTTTATACTGTATTCAATTCGCTGTATTTAATTTGGCTGTATTCAGACAACAAACATTCAAAAAATACAGAGATCTGCCACAAAAATTAACCTTCGAAATACATAAATACAGGCGAAAATATAAAAAATAAATTGTATTTGCATTAAAAAATACGTACACTCAAATTTGGGTGTATTTGTACAGAATATATATTTGTATCATTGTATGTGACTCAATAGCAAAGAAGAAAAGAAAATTCGTCAGAGATGGCGTCTTTTACCCAAGCAAAATACTGTATACATTGTATTAAAACTAAAAATAGAGACGAACAAAGAAGGAGAGAAGCCGTAGATTCCGGAGAAGAAGCCATGGATTCCAAAGAAGGAGAAGAAGCCATATATTTTGAAAGTTTCCCTTTTAGAAGAAGCCATCGATTCTGGAGAAGAAGACATGGATTCTTAGATTCTGAAAGTTCCTCTTTTAGAAGAATTCATAGAGCCATAGATTTTGAAAGTTTCCCTTTTAGAAGAAGCCATGGATTTCAAAGAAGGAGAAGCCAAATACCAAAATGGATTTTGAGCGGCAAACCAGATAAAAAAAAGGCTTCGTTCTGAGTAAATCGAAAATTGGTCAACGGTATTAGTGGACCTCCGCGGCGAACTAGATCTAGGATTTCAGAAAGAGAGAGGAGAGAGAGAGAGAGAGAGGGGGAGAGAGAGAGAGGGAGAGAGAGAGAGAGAGAGAGTTGAGGGAGAAGAGATAGAGGGTTGAGGGAATTGTACTTGGGTAAAGTTCCAACATTGCCCCTCTATTATGATATATTGTTTACTTCTGCCACCCGTTATACTTTTCATCCAAATCTATCCCTACCGTTAATCAACTTTTAAAAATTACCATAACCCTAACGGATCTACACCGTGCATCCAACCCCTCTAATATTTTGTCCATGTCAGCAGCCAAGTCAGCAGGTCCCATTAATTAACCCACCCCTTTTCTTATTAAAATATTCTCATCTTCTTCTCCCTCTCTTAAGTCTTAACTTAAGAAACATGTGCCTACGAAAACAGGGACGTACGTAAAACTTTAAGTAAGCGATGTCGATATTTAAGGACATGAGTAAATTGTGGCACAAATGGCGAAAGAGAAGAGAAGTATAGAATGACGATAGCAAAGAAGCTTGTTTAAAATTTGCAAAATCGCAAAAAAAGAATAATCTTTTTAAAAATTATGATGATTCTAGATTACGTTATATATGCTCAAATAACTTTCTCTATGCATTCAAATATTTTTTTAATCACTTATAGAATGTGGATGTCAGGTTTAAGTGATTAATTTTTATGACGAAATTGAGGGTTCAATTATCTATAAATTCTAGTTTGTCAAAAGGACCATGCATTTTGAAAACAAATAATGTCTACTGCAGAGGTCGATCCCCAGACTTCAGGCAAGAAAAATGAAGACCGACCACTACGCCAGACGTTGCTTTAAGCCATAAAAGTCATTTATATTTATAATATAGTTCTATTTTTTGCACATATGTCTATATAGTAAAAAATTTCGATCAAGCGGTATCAGATATACGTGCATCCGCCCTTGTACGAAAATACATCTCAGAGAATGATTTTCCGGTGAAATCGGCCTCTGACGACTTCTGGCCAGAATGACCAACGCCAAAAAATGTGTCAAGTATCACAACGCCAAAAAAAAGTGTCAAGTATCACAACCATATCTAATAAAGAAATAAACTAGCAAAAAAGCGGCAAATAAATTGTCAAGACGCTGCTACCAACGGCGAAAACGCCGAAGTAACTTCCGGCAAAATACTGGCGGTGGAGCTGCTTCTACCCCTTTTTCTTATTTTTGTACAGATCTATGTATGTGTGTGCGTGTTTTGCCGACTGCCATTTTAAGCCAGTGATGTTCACCGGCATTTCAATTTTTTCAATTAGGATATAAATTTGGGTAGGCAAGAAAGGTGAATCATATTCTTTGAGGAATTTTTGGGTCTGGAGGCTTTCGATGGTGTTCAGACGGATCTAGTTACTAGTGGTGGTGAGTGTTTTCCGGTAGGCTGCAGGCGGATACAATAGGAGAGAGATGAGGGTGGAGAAAGAGGGAGAGAGTTATATACACAGATCTGATCTGGAGGTTAGCTTGCCGATTGATCTCGCCATCGCCGACAACTGCTAAAGGAGAGAGGGAGTACGTGAGTTAGAAACCAAAACTAGGTTAACGTGAGAAATTTCTTATTAAATTTTCTAATTTAATAAATGCAATAACTAAGATATTATTAAAAGTGGTGATATGGACTCCACCTTGGCATTTTATTTGGTGGGGTCAAGTGACTTGGCAGCTGACATGGAGAATATTGAGGGGGTTAGTTGCCACGGTGTAGATCCGTTATGGTTAGGGGCAATTTTATAAAGTTGATTAACGGTAGGGATAGATTTGGACGAAAAGTATAACGGGTGACAGAAGTAAACTATATACCATAGTAGAGGGGAAATTTTGGACCTTTTCCCTTTGTACTTTGCAATAAAATATAAAAAGTGACTATAAATAATAATATTTTTAAAGTGTTTTGGTTATAATAAATAGGGTGCGTTATTTAGTTATAACATGTAAAATTTTCAAAAATTAATATCAAATTGTAGCCCATCGAATAAAACAAACGGTTACAAGACAAAAGTAAATTTTGGTACAACTTTTTTATATTCCCTAGATATTTTTCCTTCCCAAATTGTTTTCTCTTTCTCACGTATCCACCTGACTTTTTATTCTTTCTATATTGTTTTTACTTTTTTCTTCAATTCTTTTGATTCTAACATTTTTTTTCTGTCTCTTACTTTTACTTTTTTTTTTTTTTAAAAAAAAAAAGTTTTAAAATTTATTTCTTACCCTTTCCTAACATAGCCGGTGAATTTACATAGCCACTCATTAGACTTAAACAATATTTATATATCAGCTCTTTTTATTTAATCATTTACCCTCTTTGTTTGATGGTTACATTTGTTCATTTAGCTATTTTTGTTTGATCTCTTTCCTCTCTTTGTATGAGTATTTTGGCGGCGTTTTGTCTAAGTACCTAAAAAGAATTATCAATAATAATAATATACCAGTGTAATCTCACGTTGTGGGATTTTAAGAGGGTAAAGTGTACGCTGACCTAAAAAAAGGTATAGCGATTTCAATTTAAGTCTTAAGAAAAATTCTCCGATTAATGCTACGATCACTGTTTTAAAAGGCGTGGCATAAGGCGAGGCATTTTACATATGCCTCGGCGAGGCGTAAGCCCCGGGACACGAGGCATAAGCCCCATCGGTATTAAATTTTTAATATATTATAAAATAGTATAATTACAATAAATATTTATAAATAGGTAAAAATTACATAAAAATTGAAGAAAACTATATATATGCTCCATCCCCACAAATAAACTAGTCAAAATAATCCATTATACGCTACTTACAAGCACAAGTACCTTGAGTTGAAAAGAATAAAGTTTTCTACATGGAGGAACAAAAAGGATGACTAACTTGCAATTTGAACTTTGAACTTGCTTCTATGAAGGAGAATGAATTTCTCTTTCTATTTATAAAATAAAAATAAAAATTGACTATTCATTGCTTTTGGGAGATAGTAGCAGACTAGCCGACAAGATAAGAATTAGGAAAGACCATAAATTAGCGTTTCAATCAATAGAAAAGGTCTTGACTTTTAAATTTAATACTTTAGTTTCTTTTTAACATTTTTGAGTAATTACAGGCTGATTTTTGAGAATTTGGGTATTATATAAAGGACTTATTCAACAAATTTTGTTTTAATTTTAAAAAGTCTTTGGGGCTTACGCCTCACTACAAAAATGCGCCTGGGCGTTGCCCCGAATTTCTAGGCGCACGCCTCTTGGGACTTTCGCCCCACACCATCGCCTTAGGGAAATTTTGGTGCGCCTCGTCCTGGACTTGCCCTGAAAACGCCTTTTAAAACAATGGCTACGATAAATGATGCTGGGGTGATAGTAGAAGAGGTGAAATTTTTAGCCAAGTTCTGCACGTTGTTGATGTTGGTGGTATGGTAACTTTTGTGAGGATGTGAGATGTATGTATGTATGTATGTATGTATGTATGTATGTATGTATGTATGTATGTATGTAGGTAGGTAGGTATGTGTGTGTGTTTCTATATATATATATATATATATATATATATATATATATATATATATATATATATATATTTCTAGGCGTACACCTCTTGGGACTTTTGCGCCGCACCATCGCCTTAGGGAATTTTTGGTGCGCCTCGTCCAGGACATGCCCCGAAAATGCATTTTTAAAACACTAGCTACGATAAATGATGCTGGGGTGTGTCACGACCCCAGTTCGCCCTCCGGAACATGTCGTGACGGCACCTAGTCCCTATGACTAGGTAAGCCTAA